ACCTTAATATATATTAATAATAATACTATTACTACGCCTAATAAGTAGTATATTAAGAGCATCTATAATAATCTTAAGAAGGTATATACTCTTAAAAAACTTAGTAAGGCTATATAGTTCCTTAGCTTCTAAATTAAACGTAGTATCTTAACTAGGAAGATCTTCTTCTTACAGCATAAATATACTAAAGCTATCTTTTATTAATTTAGCTACTAAGATCTACAGCCTATAAAAACTCCCTTCCCCTCTTATAAAGAGCTTCTTATTTAATAAGATAAGAATAAGTGTACTATTATAAAAGCTGAGGAGTATATCAAAAAGACTAGCTACTTTAACTAGCTCGCTCAGAGTACCTATATTAATATTACTTACTATATTAGTAAGCTCTACTAAGTAAATAGAGGCTTATCTTAGATATATCTACACTTCACTAAACACCTCTTTTACTACCTCTAAGAAACCCTCTATTATAGTATTATTATTAGCAGAACTAATCTAAATTAAACCTTAGCTCTCTATAATATAGCAGACTCCTTATTTACTAATAACTAGCTATCTTATATCTCTATTAGAGGATATATTATCTTCTTTAGCAGTACCCCTATTACTTAGAAGACTAAGAAGCAGACGTTTATCACTCTTAGCATAACTAAGGCAGAGTTTGTAAACTTAACGCCTACTAGCCTCACCTTTAAATAGATCAAGAGATCTATTAAGTAGATATTTAATACTAAGATAAATACTCCTATTCTACTCTTTATAAATAGTACTAATATATACTTTTACATTATAAATCTATTAAACTAGGCTTATACTCACTATATTAATATTTAATATAAATAGATTATTAAGGAAGTACTTATAAATAAAACCTTCATGCTTCACCTTATTAATAGCTTTAAGATAGTTACTAATAGCCTCATAAAGTCTCTTAAAGTATAAAAACACTATAACTTTATTAGAATACTTAGATTAGTAGATAGATTAGAGGATAATATAGATTAATATTAGCTAGCTCTAAGATTAATTTAATCTAAAGCCCTAAGCTAATTAGAAGATAGGGATTACTTAGTAGTTTAACTAGAGATTAACTAAGTTAATATAAACTTAAAAACTCCTCAGTTTTAAGCGTTTTAGCTCTTAATAAGATTTCTAGCGTTTTACCTACTTTATACGTATTAATAGTTACTACTAGGCCTTAGAGCCTGAGGGGTAGTATGGTAGCACCTGCCCACAAGTGCTCTAGGTGGCCTGTGCAGCCTAGGGCCCCCTAGTGCCTTCTTCCAGCCTCCTGGCCAGGCAGCCCACTTAGCTAGATCATCACACAGATCACTACCACTCGTTTGCCTGTGCCTCTATATTATATATATAGCTAGATAGCCCTACTTAAGAGTAATATAATAATACTACTTTTATTACTATATAATATAGTTAAGGCTGAAAATTATATCACAAAAAGTTATTAATTTAGTAGGTTAATACTGAAAAATGCTACTTTTGGTGATCTAGGTAGAAACCCCCTTTTTTGCGTAGAAACCCTGTTTTTTCGCCCCCTACGTGAGTAGGGGGGCTAGCGTTAGCCTGCGCCGCTTGGACCCCCGGGTAGGCGTCGGGATGTTGTCGGCCTGAGCCGGTGATGAAGATGGAGAGGCCCCGTCGGCGGTCGTGTCTTCAGCCATGGATGATAAAGACTCTAATTCTCTCACTTCAATTCAATTTCAGGCTCTCCCATTGATGAGAAGTTGGTCGCGATCTCATTCCAGGGCATACTGTCTTCGGTCTGAGAAGGACAAGAGCCTGTGAAAGAATTCGGGGACACTCCGTCGGATCGATCCGAAAACCCCGTGCAGAGAGTGGGGCTTCGCTGCGTTCGGGAAAACGCCGCTGATGACGGGCTTTACCCGTTCGCCCCTCACTGTCTGTACCCGAGTGAGTGGGATGCACCTGCGCGTCATGTTGGCTGCTGCGTCTCAGAAGAATTCCAGAATATCAACTGCCTTTTCTGTCCTCAATAGGCAAAAACCAAGCCCAGGTAGGGCATTTGCTAGTAAGGCCACAATGAAGTAAGTTATCGGATTCAACACTGAGCTGATTCCTAACTCTCTCAAGCCCACCCAAACCGCAATCGGCCCCGCCATGTCTCTCGGCCGACTGCTGGGACACGCATGTTCATGTCTTTGACTCAGCAATCGGACCCTTCGCAGCATCCCGGGCTTACACCCCGGCCCAAGCGACCCTTCAGCAACTCTTGAACTTCAGCTCAAGTTTGACCAAAGACAAAGCGCTCAACATCGTGTTGGTTCAGCCTTCGCCATATGGAAACGATAACACTGTTCTGTTACATCTGCTCCGAAAACTTCGCGATGATGGGGCCCAGTCTCCCCGAGGTATCGCGGTGGTCGACATCGCACGTATCAGCGACGAAGAACTTTGGTCAATGCACGATCTAGGCATTCGAGGTCTTAGGATCAATATGCAAGCCGACGGAAAGAGTACTGACGTTGAAGCTCTCCGCAGGGTGGTGATCGAAACAGCCGCAAGGATCAAGGTCCTTCCTAACTGGAAGATTCAACTCTTTTGCGCTGCATCAATATGGGAAGATCTTTTTGGCACGATATCAAATCTTCCAGTCGAGGTCATCGCCGACCATGTAGGCGGACTGCAGGGCTCCTCTAAGCTAAAGCCAACCAGTGGAACGCAGGCGATGGATCCGACCGAACAGCCCGGGCTCGGGTGTCTGGTCAGACTGGCTGAAGCTTCAAAAGTGATCATCAAAATCTCAGGACTTTATCGACTCTCAAGCCGTGCAGAGTCCGGATACGACGACATGGAGCCGGTTATCAAGGCCCTGGCTAAGAGAGTACCTGATCGTTTAATTTGGGGCAGTGACTGGCCACACACCGGCGAGGGCAACGATCGCTTGAAACGAGGGAAAGATGCCATCGAGGAGTTCCGAGTAATCGACAATGAGCTTATTGTAAGAAATCTCAGGAATTGGATCGGGAGCGATGAGACGTGGGGGAAGGTCACGGCAAGAAACCCGAAGAAGTTTTATGAGTAGCGAAACACCCCTATTCCAACCACAATCTCGTCGAGACTATGTGTTTCATCAACAAAAGCATCACTTCTGTTATTCATGAGTGAAGTTGAAAATCTTAGTATCAATGATCGCAGCTGTCAAGAAGGGCGCTGGCACGCAAAGGCGACATTGAGGTATCGGATGTAACCGAAGAGCCAACCTCGGAGACCGGAAACACGGGCTAAACCCGTCTCGGTTACTGCGTTGCACTCCATCCGGATTTCATCCCCTTAATGCTCAGTGAGTGCCTTCTGGTGAATCAATCTTTGACAACTAATTTCACTGGCAAAATGGCTTCACTCAGAGCTTTAAGCGGCCGAAGCGCCCGCCCGCTGGCACCATTCACCACATTATCAGGTCGCTTCTCTTCAGCGGCGTCGATATCCACCAAGCTCCAAATTCGCGCCCAGAGCAGTTTGCCAGCAGCCTACTACCGCGGCGGCACATCCCGGGCCATCTTCTTCCGCCATGAGGACCTTCCGGCCGACCGCTCCGAGTGGGACCGCATTTTCCTCGGCAGCATCGGCAGCCCGGATCCGTACGGTCGGCAACTCGATGGTCTCGGCGGCGGCATTTCCAGTCTTTCCAAGGTCTGTGTCATCAGAAAGAGTGACCGGCCCGATGCAGATGTTGACTACACCTTCGTCTCTCTTGGCATAAAGAATACCAACGTCGACTACTCCAGCAACTGCGGCAACATGAGCGCTGCAGTGGGCCCCTACGCGGTGGACTCCGGTCTCGTTGAGGTTCCTGACGGAGCGACTGAGGCGACCGTGCGGGTCTTCAACACCAATACCGGCAAAGTTATCGAGTCCATCTTTCCTCTAGATGGGAAGGAGGCCGCTGCTCATGGTGACTTTTCTATTGACGGCGTAGCGGGCACGGCGGCGAGGGTGCAGCTCAAGTTTCTCAACCCTGCTGGGTCTCGGACTGGGAGGCTCTTCCCGACAGAGGCTAAGGTGGATGAGATTGAGGGCATGAAGGTCACTTGCATCGATGCTGGCAATCCTTGCGTCTTCGTCCAGGCTGCGGCTCTTGATGTCGAGGGAACCATCACTCCTCAGGGGATTGAGGATCACCCAACACTATTGCAGACGTTGGACAAAATCCGCCGAACCGCTGGTGTGAAGATGGGTCTCGCCGAGACGAAAGAAAAGGTGCCTGGAAGCGTGCCGAAAATCGCGATCGTGTCGCCACCACAGGATGGGAAGCTCAACACCCTCGTCGCGCGGGCGATGTCGGTCGACCAGCCTCACAAGGCCATTCCGGTCACTGTGGCGCTGGCCGCAGCCGCAGCTGCTACTGCGGAGGGCACAGTTGTATCTGAGTGTGTCAAGGCAAACGCTGGGGCTGGTGGTGACGTGAGGATATTCCACGCGAGTGGGACTCTGGATGTAGCTGCGGATTATGGGAAGGATGGGTCTCTGGAGTCTGCGACCGTATACCGAACCGCACGCAGGCTCATGGAAGGAAGGGTGTTCTGGAAGTGAATTATTTTGGCGTTGACTCGTACGAATGGGACGATGAAGGACAACCAGGCCAGCCAATAATGTCAGTCGCTAAATATAGTTGGAGTCACACACTCGTTCAGCTTCTCAAACGGTTGGCTGCTCCAAATGGACAGGAAAAGTGCATTTAGATCAGGGTAGCACATATTGCGTCAGCATGCAGTTGCATCCCTTACTTCATGAAAGCCTAAGGCCTCAAATCAACCAACCTCTGTTTCCCCTCTTTTTGGACGTCGTCTTTCTTTCTCATCCGCTGTTCTGACTTTTGTGTGCTCTGTGGATTTTACTCACTCCTGTGTCGTTACTGGTAGTCGAAACGTGGTCATCGTGTAAGCTCAAGATGTGGCTGATCAACACCGGCGATCTTGAGTCTCTTCGTCTTGTGGAGTTCCTGGGAGACCCTCCCAATAGCTATGCTATTTTGTCCCACACTTGGAGTTCCGACGAGGTGACATTCGAGCAATTCAATGATCTACAATCGTCGTCACTTCGGGTTGATGAAATGCAGCTGGATCACGGAGATAAGAGTCTATTCAATTCCAGTGGTTTCCAAAAGATTAAGGGAGCAGCGATTTTGGCGAAAAGACAGGGATTTTCATACCTATGGGTTGATACATGCTGCATCAACAAAGCCAGCAGCGCCGAACTATCTGAGTCTATTAACTCGATGTACCGATGGTATCAGCAAGCGAAAGTATGCTTCGCGTATCTTTCAGATGTCAATTTTACCTTGGCTCAAAACGCGAACGAAACGAGGTCCGCATTTAGGAGCAGCCGTTGGTTCACCAGAGGTTGGACATTACAAGAACTCATCGCGCCCCGGGTTGTGGAATTCTATGCTTCTGACTGGTCTTACATTGATACAAAAACAGTAAGTAACAAATCTCACCCCAAGACATCATTGTCCTCACACGACACAGGCTGGAAATTATGCATTTTGTGGGATCTTGTCTGACATTACTGGCATTGACCTTGATATTCTCGCCGGCAGGATGGCCCTACACGACGCCAGTATAGCCGACAAGATGCGCTGGGCTGCCAAGCGCGAAACCAAGCGCAGGGAGGACATCGCCTACTGTCTGCTTGGTTTGTTCGATGTCAACATGCCTCTACTGTATGGAGAAGGCTCCAAGGCCTTTATACGTCTTCAGCAAGAGATATTGAGAGAGACAAACGACCAGTCTATATTTCTTTGGGCAATAGAACCCCAAGGCGCTTCGGCAATCGACAATCTCCACGGACTACTTGCTAGCTCCCCCGAGTCATTCTCACGCCTTGAGATGAATAACGTTCGCCCGATGCCACCATTAGAATCGAACGAGAGCGTGCCAGTCGGCATCACAAGTCAAGGTCTCCGGACAAGTATGCAGCTCATCCCAATTGTCCCCGAAGGAGACGATTATTTTGCCGTGCTGGACTGCACGGTTTCCACGCCTTCGACACCTGTCGCAAAACAAGCGCCTTGTATATTTCTTAGGCGCCTATGGGGTGACCAATTTGCTCGCATTCCTTGGACAGTACCTTACGGTGTGCAATTTGTGCAAAACAACCTGGATGGGTTTCAGCGAAAGGGCGCAATCACCACAATCTACGTTAAACAAACCCCATTCTACATTCTGCCGGAAATTGAAATCAGAACATACGCCCAGGGCGATTACAGCGACGTTGTGTCTTCTTCAATCTCGATCATGGAGGCGTATCCGCCAGATCGATTCAGCACGACCCAGTCCATCGTGCGGACTGGTGAGCCCAAGTCAGGTCAAACCATTGTCATCCTGCGATTCGGAGATCATCTACTTAAGCCGCTGTTTGATCTTTCTGTTGGCCTGTTACGCATCGGAAAGCAATGGGAAGTGCAGTATAAGAAGCACCCGTACATCGACACTCAGCTTAAAGAAGTATATCTAAAGGACCCGCAACTTGTGTTTGAGTCTGGAACAGAAGTATGCGACAAATCTGGAGACGCAGGGCTTCTGACCATCCATACGACGGAACAAAACCAACGTGGTAGACGGTTCGTACAATTGGAGGTCTTCTTTACGCAGCAGCCAAATCCCGCCACTTCGACAAATGGGACCGGGTACGCGATCGTGAACGCGGAAGCTGCCATTACAAAAGCGAGCTTTGTGACAGATATTGCCGATCTGGTCGCATCAGCAACACGCAAATGCTGCTATCAGGATACCCTATGCCGAATAATTTCCAATCCTTCACAGTCCCCAGACGGAGTCAGAACAAGACCAGCGGAACGAGGTCGGGATTTTGCAGCAAATCTGACCTTGGATGTCATCAGCCATGACAAACCATACGCAGATATGGTTCGCGCTATACATAAGAAGGATCTATCCAAGATCAAATCCTTGGCCGCTGAGAATAAAGCTCTGATTGAGTGTCAGGCGGAAGAATTCGACGACTTTCGACCTATTCACTGGGCCGCTGCTCAGTGGACTTCTCAAGATAAATTCCGGATCATTAAAAAGCTGATCAACCTGAAGGTAGACGTCAGAAGTCGGACCAGAGGCGGATGGATGGCTATACACCTAGCCATCTTGACCGAGAACTTTCCAGTTGTGCTCTATCTTTTGGAAAAGTCTAGACGGTCGCGTGGCGAGTGGGACTTAACAACTGCAACAGGGGAAACCCTCTCGCACTTGCTTGCCGCGTATGCACAAGACCTGTCGTGGGGCGATAAATATTGGATGTCGAATACCTCCAAGGGCAAGGTCATAGACGCCTTGGTCATCAGGCGCATGGCAGAAACTCGGGTGAATTCCCGTGGTGAGCTGCCTATTCACAGGGCTGTTGCCAATGGAAACACTGCTGCGTTAGAAATTGGCAAGCTACTGGAGACTGCTGATATCAATGCCGCAGACAATGCTGGTCGCACCGTGCTCTTTCATGCGGCTTGTGGTGGAAGCAGGCAGATCATTGAGAGGCTAACCAATGTGGGAGCTTCACTTGAGACGGCCGACTCTCACGGTCGGACTCCGGCGCATGCTGCTGTCATGGCTGACCAGCCTGACGCTCTGGGTATACTGCTAGACCTGAACGCCGACCCAGACGCGACGACTACTGCTATCGGACTAACTCCTCTTCATTTCGCATGTCTTTACGGATTCTCGGACTGTGTTGCAAGGCTACTAAATGCTCCGAAACCTGCCGCGTTGAATTCTTGGTCAACTGATGGTGCATCTTTCCAGCCTATACACCTCGCCGTCGCAAATCAACATGCAAGTTGTATCGAAGAGCTTTTCAAGGCTAGCTGTAGCATCAACGGCAGTTGTAACAGCTATTTGAAGCTAAAGGAAGCACAAAACGAATGTTTAGAGGAGGCCGAAGTGGTATTTCTCCCCAAGCTTATGGCACCGCTCGAGCTTGCCATGTTTTTGGGAAACAATGAAATAGCTTCCTTGTTGTCGGCTTTATCCAAAGATATCGTACACGTGGGGCCGTTTTATTAGATTGCTTTTGTCGTTTCATAGACATGTCAAGCTGTTTTGGCTGAGATAACAGCTTAACTTCGTCGGATTGACATCTCAGTAGACGTGAGAAGGTCAGAAGAATCGGTTTCACGATCTTCAAGTGTGTACATCCCCGGGAGAGCCACTGTGATGACTTCGGTAGGCCCTAGGAGCGAAGTTATGGAATTTTGAAGGGAGCCTCCTAAAGTAATTGGCAGATAGGAACACGGCGCCTGCAAAGACAACTTATGTACGTGGAGATAAACAATACAAGGACCCTGACAGATATACGCAGGCGGCAACAAGGTCAGTGACCCTGATAGTCGGTTTGGCAAGGATATCGCTACAGGGGTGGCCACGTCACACAGCACTGGCGACCTTACTGGTAGGTTCAGCGAGGTATCATTGGTACGAGGCTAAATACATCTGTTATAGTAAAGCCTCTTTCTCCTGTTTCCTCTTCGCCATCAGGTTCAGTGCACTTCCTTCTCTGAAGTACTCAATCTGCTCGCCTGTCAATGTGTGGCTCAGCTCGATGCTGAAGCTTTCTCGACCTGCTGTTGTTGGCGTAATCCTGACCTCAACGTTCTTCCCTGGTTGCAAATCCTTGATACCTACAATACTAATGCGGTCAGAAGAGCTGATCCGGTCATAGTCGCTTTCCTTCACAAACTTCAGTGCCAGCAGTCCTTGCTTCTTCAGGTTCGTCTCGTGGATTCTCGCGAAGCTCTTAGCCATAATAGCCACGCATCCAAGGTAGCGCGGCTGTAACGCTGCATGCTCACGGGACGAGCCTTCTCCGTAATTGTGGTCTCCGATCACAACCCAGGGCTGCGACGCCTCTTTATAAGCCCGCGCGGTACCCGGAACATCGCCGTCTTCGCCGGTCAACCAGTTCTTCACTTGATTGACCTTGCCCGTTTCGGCATTCACAGCTCCAATCAGGGTGTTATTTGAGATGTTCCCAATGTGGCCGCGGTAGGCGAACCACGGGCCAGCGGGCGTGATGTGGTCTGTTGTGCACTTGCCCTGAACCTTGATCAGAATAGCACAATTTTCAAAGTCCGTTCCGTGCCAAGGCTCAAAGGGGGCCAGTCTTTGGAGGCGCTTCGATGTCTCAGCAATCTGGACTTCGACTTCGTTGCGACCTGTTGATGGTGGAGGGCTGTAGACGTAGTCCGTATTGGCATACCCGCGCGATGGTAGTGCATCTCCACCTGGAGGCTTGAAGCGGAAGTCAGAGCCCGATGGGGTGACTATAGAATCGGAAGTCGGGTTGAAACTGAGATCGTCTGAGAAAATCTTCGCCATAACCATTTCTGGTGAGGCTAGGAAGATGTGAGTGGCTGGGTTTCCATCGAGACGGCCAGTGAAGTTTCGGTTGTAGGATGTGAGAATGGAGTTCTTGACGCCCTGAATTCGAAGTCAGCATCTTTTCTTGTACCTCGGCTGCAATTGAGCAGCTTACCTTCTCCATATCTTGACGATCCCAAGAGCCGCAACATGGGCCACAAGCATTCGTCAACAACTTGCTTCCGAGCTCTTCAAACACCTGAAGTACCCCATTCTCCTGCAGCGTCTTCCTTGTTTGCTCACTTCCAGGTGACACAAAAAGCGGCATCTTCGGCTGAAGCCCGGCATCCAATGCCTGCTTCGCCAACTCCGCGGCCATCGACATATCTTGAAATGAGGAATTCGTGCAAGAACCAATGAGTCCTGCAGTCAAGTCCTTTGGCCAACCTTCCTTTTCCACGGCGTCTGAAAGCTTTGAAATTGGCGTTGATAGATCGGGTGTGAATGGTCCGTTGATGATGGGCTCCAGCTCAGAGAGGTTGATGTCGATGATTCTGTCATACTGAGCATCTTCATCCGCGCGCAACTCAGGTGATGCAAAGCGAACTGCATCGGCGATATCGTGGCGGTGTGTCGCTTGCAAATACGATCTCATCGCCTCGGAGTACGGGAAAATCGAAGTTGTGGCGCCCGTCTCAGCGCCCATGTTGCAAATGGTGGCCATGCCAGTTGCAGAAAGAGACTCAGTGCCGGGGCCAAAGAACTCGATGATAGCTCCAGTCTCACCTTTGACTGTAAGAATGCCCGCCAACTTGTTGATGACATCTAGATGCTTGGTCAGAAATCAAGGTAGCATAAGGTAGCTTTGAAGCATTTTTACTCACCCTTGGGCGTAGCCCATCCCGACAGCTGTCCCGTGAACCTCACACCAATGATATGCGGTGCAGTCAACTCGAAAGGCAGCCCAGCCATCACGTCAACCGCGTCAGCGCCGCCTACACCAATCGCAATCATGCCCATTCCGCCCGCATTAGGAGTGTGTGAGTCTGTGCCGACCATCATGCCTCCCGGAAAAGCGTAGTTCTCAAGAACAGTCTGATGGATGATTCCAGCGCCAGGCTTCCAGAATCCCATGCCGTACCTCTTACATGCACTTGACAAAAAGTCATAAACTTCCTTATGCGTGCTCAGGGCTTGCGGAAGGTCTTCATCCTGGCCTGTGCTGCCGACGATAAGATGGTCGCAGTGAACAGTCGTAGGCACTGCAGTGGAGTCGAGACCAGCTGACATGAATTGGATGATTGCCATCTGAGCTGTCGCATCTTGGCATGCGATTCGTCGAGGACGTAGTTTGAGCTGCGTCTTGCCACGGTGGAGGGGCTCGTGGCCGATATTGTCGGCATGAGCGAAAAGCACCTTCTCTGAATACGTCAGGGGTCGCCCAAGTCTGTAGTAAGCGTCAACGCGATGTTCAAGAATCTAGGATGCAGACTTACATCTTTCGACTTGACTCAATCCGACGCGTGAGGTCGGCATAGTCAATTGTATTGTCGGTCTCAAATCGACTCAGTCTTGCTTTGGAGCTGGTCGAGCTCACTGATGCCAGGCCTCTTCTGAGGCTAACATGTCGCTGGTGGGGTGAGCCTCTTGATAGGCGCGCCAAGGGTCTGGATGCGTGGAGGTACATCTTGGACTCGGCATTGACTGACTAATACCACGGTTTGTATTCGCCAATCGTGGGACAGGTAATCTTTTTCAAACAATTCATCTTTGGGTGTTTTTGAGCGTTGCAGGGGGCGAATATGACTGCGAGGGCGGTTGATCGGAGCGTTCCGATGCTCCTCAAGCAAGCCGAGGACCGTCGGCCCAAGCCGAAAGTGTCCCAACTGCTCTGCACCCAAGCTACGCAACGATTCCGAGGTGACGATGCTTTCACTTGATTTAACGACCCAACAAAATCCCTGATATTCTAGGCGTGTATTGTGTGCATGTGAAGCCACTCCTTCGTCTACGTGATTATCCAACCTAATCACCAGCCACGCCGGTCACACGCTCCCGAACTTCGGCGTTAATCTTCTTCATGACCCTGACCAAAGGTGCGAAATCGCACTCCTCCTGAGCCGCTGTCTCGATACTCTGCGCAACGCGGTCTAACAAGTCCAAATCAGCAGTCGCATCCTCCTCGAGACCCGGAGAGTTGATCATATTGCTAGCGATGTGGGCATATGCAATGTGAGCCCGGTAAGCGCCCAAGATGTACGAGATGGCCTCAGCTGCAGGGAACCTCCAGACATGGAGCATGAGATAGGTAAGCTCCAGGATCCGACGTGATATCCTGGTCGACAGGTCTGTCTTTGGTATGTTATCATCGGAGGAGATCGGATTAGGCGAGTTCGTCTTGAGGAGTGTTGCCTTTCGAAGCATGAAGATGATGCAGGTGTAGCCATTGAGCAATAGATCCCCCAGAATCCACAGGTTGATCATATCATTTTCGTGTGCAGATCGTTGAACCCAGTCCTCCTGCCTGCTGTTAGTGATCCCTGAGCACTCGACATATTCAGGACTAGGTCATGACTCACGATCCTCCATTCTTCGAGCAGCGACTCAATCTCGTGACAAAGAGGCTCAATAGAATTTACAGCTTCAGATTCGTTATCAAGCGTTTTGATCATCTGAAAGAAATGGATCAGAACGAAGGTTAGTCGGCTGCGGACGAGAAATGCAATGGTTGGCACTGGCGCATCGTTGTTCGGAGTCGAGTCGAGCGATAGCCACGGCAAGTTAACCTGCCAGCTGTCAAGACTTCGGAACAGCTTTGCCGGCTTGTTGTAAATCAAGTGATAGAAGAGATCCGTTTGGATAAGCTCCCACATGCCTCGGCGGTCGTCATCGGTTCTCGTGGAACCGGGTTCAGTTACTGCGAAGTAATCGTAGCCATCAAGACTGTGCAGGTGAAGACCTTTGGCATAGTCGCAAGCTAGCTGGTGCATCTCCAAACTTGAGTCAAAGTCGAACATTTCCGTCGCAACTCCAGTCTAAGAGCAACCTGTCAGCGTATTGACAGATTTTGGTGATGATAGGCTTTGGCTCACCATGAAGATGGCAGCAATGAAGTCCGTTATTGATCCGGTCGCTTCCTGCTGCCATGTTGGGATAGCACGCAAACAGCATAGGTAAAGCTGCCTCGCGTACTTTCGATCGGGACTATGGAAGGATCTAGTGTTGAGAATGTAGCATCCACGCCAAAGGATGACATAGTACACGATCAGAATACAAGGGTCGAGGGTGACATGTTTCATGGTCAACATGTCGGGTATCATCTCAATCATCTTCCTGTCAACAAGACTGAGGAACGTTTCCGTCGGCGTATAAGTGAAGTAGTCTGTGCCAAGGGGTAAGCAATCAATAAGAAGTAATCGTGCCTGCCGGATAGTCTCACTGTGGATCCAAGTCCTTGCAAGCTCCGGTGGGATGAGAACACCTTCGGTGGTGATCGCTTGCAGCCCAACAGTGCGCTTCAACCTCAGATCTCGGACCCGATCGAAGGTGTCACTGAGAGTGGAGGCAACATCGAGTGGGGGAGATCCCGGAGAAATGCCCTCGGATGGCTTTGTTCTCAAATGCAAGAGCCCTATGCTGTCCTCAACAGAAGGAATCGGAGAAGGATCCCCAGAAGGGCTCGGGGTTGAGTAGGGTGTCTCAGAGACATCATCGGTAGCACTGCAAGTAGACTTCTGCCGTCGCGACGAGGAGCCTGCAATAGGAGATGAAGGCTTAGGCGAATATTTGCCCTCAATGCGTTGCAGCCGCTCGAGAATCAACGACAGAGTCTCGCTTTCAGAACTTTTAGATGGATAGAAGCTGGTAAGCTTTTCATATTGATAGATGATGTGAGATGGAGCCAAACCTTTGATGCCGTGGTATCTCTTTCCTGATACTCTTTCTAGTCCGTCGCTGTGGATAATGGCACGAGAGACCTTGACTGTTGCATCGTTCGCATGTTGGGGTGTCTCGGCTGCACCTGACCTTGACTGGTATTAGTCAACTTGCTCTTATGGAGTCTTGTTGGTCAGCACGTACCTTCTTGCTTCTGCAATTTGTACACTGGTTTGTGATTCATCAGCCAAATTCCCGGCAATCTGTCATCCGATCCCAGCACAACGTTATGTAGGTCTCGGGAACATTGCCTCGAGGCGGAATAAGATGGGTGTGAAATGGAAGCTTACCGACAGGCCATTCACGACAACAACCCCTGGCCGATCCATGGAGAGTCAAAAACTCGGAACATGCAGGCAGAGTGCGAACGTCCGGGGTGACAGCCAATGCGCGGGGGCAGCAGATGATTCAGGGATCGGAAGTACGATTGGTGAGTACCGTGGGATGAAAGCGGTCGATATTGAGAGATGGAAAAGATGGAAAGTCCCAAGAAGACGCCAACCTGACGCTGATGGATCACGTCGTTTGTCAAGTCCACGCCGCCGAGGGCACAGCGTTCTCCACAAAGAGATCTGGATTCAGAGTCATTCTCGCCGATTGACGAATGAGAAGCTTCTCATCCGCAGCTAGTGGCCCACGTTCCCGAGACTTGGAAAACACGGATCGTTAGCTGCTCCCAGCTTACATCCGCCATTACCCCATTGGGGAGCTCCATCTGCAAGCCGCACCTCTCGGCGGGGTGGTTTGCTCGATTCCCATTGAACAACAGTTGCGAATGCCAAAAAGTCCCCACTTATCCGGCACTTCGCACTCTCCGAAAGTGCGGCTTGCCCTCTCGTCCCGCTGTTTCTGCATGCCGGGGGCGACGCCGGATCGGCCAGCCAAGGAACTTCGCACTTTCCGTGAAAACTTCATCATGTAGGTATTCATTTCGAAACTTTGACTTTGAGGCCTTCGAAAGAGTCATTCACACGCGGTGAAGCTGACCGCTGGAACATTCGGGCCCCGTCGCCAAGGACATTTCGTATTAGATGGGATACTTGAAGGCTTCGTAGTCTGCTTGTTTTCTCGTATAGTCGGGCATAGAGGTTCAGGTTTTGGTTTGATCTTTTGATTTACAAAGACTTACGTTTGATATCATATTATCACCTGCAGATACACCCTTTTGGTCGATCTTATCTCATCTTTCCTCCCTCTTAGTTGTCTCTTGTCACCCTAATCATCTCACGACCGCCCCCCAATCAGCTATCGCATAAGCACGGTTCAACTACACAGGCGCCCGAAGGCTTGTTTTCGCAATGCCATCAACGGGCCTCTTTGAACATGACGTTCACAAGACCGGTGGTCACCAATACCACCTGGATGCCGACGCCACCCCGTCTGGCCAGTCTGATGCCGAGATCTCAGTCGGCGAGGAGATCAATGAACTAGCCAGGCGCTTGACAAGCGCATCTCACCCTGGTGGCCAGGGCCACTCCTTGTTTCCTGAGCCTTCCGACAAGACACTCAACCCCAACAGCCCTGAGTTTGACGCTCGAAAATGGGCCGCCGAGTTCTACAGGATCCAGACTCAGGCACTGCTTGGCAACGCGCCAAACACCGCAGGTCTAGCCTTCAAAGATCTTCAAGTGTACGGCTTGGGCACCACTATGGACTATCAGAAGACTGTTGGCAACTTCGTTCTCGAAGCAGCATCGCTATTCTCGCCGTCGAAGAGACAACAGCGTATCGATATCCTTCACGGCTTGGAAGGCGTCGTCCAGAGCGGTGAGATGCTCGCTGTACTGGGCCCCCCTGGATCTGGCTGTACCACGCTTCTCAAGACCATTGCTGGCGACACCCATGGCTTTTATATCGCCGATGGAGCGACTCTCAACTACCAAGGCATCTCACCAGAGGATATGCGGACGAGCTTTCGGGGAGAAGCGATCTACACTGCCGAATTTGATTACCACTTCCCCTATCTGACAGTCGGAGAGACCCTTTACTTTGCTGCCAGGGCACGATGCCCCCAGAACATGGACCTCCCTGATGGCATCTCCAAGCACCAGTACGCGGAGCACCTGCGCGATGTTGTGATGGCAATGCTTGGTATCTCTCACACCAAGAACACCAGAGTTGGAGATGACTTCGTGAGAGGCGTTAGTGGTGGTGAACGCAAGCGAGTGTCTATCGCTGAGGCAGTTTTGAGCTATGCCCCGCTCCAATGCTGGGACAACAGCACAAGAGGCCTTGATTCCGCGAACGCCATCGAGTTTTGCCGGACTCTCCGAATGCAGGCAGACATCTTCCGCTGCAGTTCATGCGTGGCCATCTATCAGGCGCCTCAGGAGGCGTATGATGTGAGTTGAATCCAGACCGCCCAAAGACTTATATGATATATCAGAGTTACTTTCATGTGCTAACTGTGGATGCAGCTTTTCGACAAGGTCGTGGTCCTCTACGAGGGCCGACAGATCTACTTTGGGATGGCGACAGAGGCAAAGGCCTACTTCGAAGGCCTCGGGTTTCAATGCCCTGAGCAGAAGACAACTGCCGACTTCTTGACGTCTATGACCAGTTCTGCGGAGAGAGTGGTCCAACCGGACTGGAGTGGAAAGCCGCCGCCACGGAGCTCTGATGAGTTTGAGCAGGCTTGGAGGGAGAGTCGAGATCGCCAGCTGCTCCTCAATGAGATCGACCGTTTCGAATGCGAATTTCCTCTGGGAGGCGACACTCATGCCAAGTTTTTGGCTACACGACGAGCGCACCAATCCAAGCAGACCCGTCCGTCTTCGCCGTTCACCCTGTCGTTCTTTCAGCAGGTCAACCTCAATCTCTGGCGCAGTTTCAAACTCTTGATCAGCGAGCCATGGATGACGATCACCATGCTTTCCACCAATTTCTTCGAATCACTCATTATTTCCAGCATCTTTTACAACTTGAAACCTGACTCGTCGACTCTGTTCAACCGCATGCTCCTCATCTTCTACACTATCCTCATCAACGCCATGGGTAGTATCTTGGAAATCCTGACCCTCTACGGCAAGCGCAAGATCATCGAGAAGCATGCGCGATACGCCCTCTATCACCCGAGCAGCGAAGCCGTAGCCGCCATGCTTGTCGACCTACCCTACAAGCTGCTGAACTCGCTCTTCATCAACATCCCGATCTACTTCATGACCAACCTCCGACGTGAAGATGCGGGTCCCTTCTTTTTCTTTCTGCTGTTCTCATTCAGCATCACGGTTTCCATGTCCATGATCTTCCGCTTCCTCGGCTCGGTCACCAAGACGATCGCGCAAGCATTAGCACCCTCATCCATCATTCTATTGGCCTTGATGCTATTCAGCGGCTTCGCCATTCCTCAGGGCTACCTTCACGATTGGATTGGTTGGCTACGCTGGGTCAACCCGGTGTTCTATGCCCAGGAAAGTCTCGCACTGAACGAATTTGTCGGGCGCAACTTCAGCTGCGCGCAGTTCGTCCCCTCAGGCGCAGGCTACGCTGCTTCTTTAGTGGAGCCCAGCGAGCGAGTGTGTGACATTGGCGGTGCGGCGCCTGGTGCTAACTTCGTCAGCGGCGAGGAACATCTTCGCGTTGTGTATAACTTTGACCCGAGTCATAGATGGAGGAACTTTGGTATCTTAATGGCCCTCACGATCTTCTTCATGGTGTTGTATCTTTTCGCCGTTGAGTGGGTTTCTTCTGAGAGATCTAAGGGCGAAGTCCTTGTTTTCACCCGCAACGCCCTGAAGAAGGTGAAGCGGGCCACGAAAGACGTGGAGAACACCGGCATCAGCCACTCGTCGTCGACAACTCAGAACCAGAGTGACAGCGACAGCCCGGACATCGCGAAGCAGACTTCGGTGTTCCATTGGCAGGATGTGTGCTACGAGGTACAGGTCAAGAGCGAGACTCGAAAGATTTTGCAGCACGTCGACGGATGGGTCAAGCCAGGCACTTTGACTGCTCTGATGGTGAGTTTGAACCCACCCTCTCTTTATCTCGTATCGGTGCTAACGTTTCGCTTGGTAGGGTGTTTCGGGTGCTGGTAAGACCAGTCTTCTTGACGTGCTCGCCAGCCGCGTGACGATGGGAGTCGTGAGCGGTCAGATGCTCGTTGACGGTCATCTACGAGATTCTTCCTTTCAGCGCAAGACGGGCTATGTAACCCAGCAGGATCTCCACCTCCACACCGCAACCGTTCGAGAAGCCTTGAGCTTCAGCGCTGTTCTGCGACAACCTCAGCAGTACAGTCGGGAGGAGAGACTGGCCTATGTCGATACCGTCATCGATCTTTTGGGAATGCAGGAATATGCCGACGCCGTGATTGGCGACCTAGGCGAAGGACTCAACGTTGAGCAACGCAAACGCCTAACCATCGGCGTCGAACTAGCTGCGCGCCCTCAACTGCTTCTTTTCCTCGATGAACCCACGTCTGGCTTGGATAGTCAGACATCCTGGTCGATCTGTGATTTGATGGAAAAACTAACGAAAAACGGCCAAGCCATTCTCTGCACGATTCATCAGCCATCAGCGTCCCTTTTTCAGAGATTCGATCGGTTACTACTGCTGGCCAAGGGAGGGCGCACCGTTTACTTCGGCGACATCGGCCGCAACTCCCATGTTTTGATTGACTACTTCAGCCGTCATGGTGCCCCAGCCTACAAGCCTGGGTCGAACCCAGCTGAGTACATGCTCGAGGTGATCGGGGCAGCGCCAAAGGCCCACACCGACGTTGACTGGCCGGCTGTGTGGCGTGAGAGTCAGGAATACCAGTCGGTGCAGAAGGAACTTGCGAGGCTTTCGGGTAGCCAAGACGAGAAAGGCACACAGTCCACCGCTGAGGTTCATGACTCTGCGGCGTATGCTGAGTTTGCGGCGGATTTTCGAACACAAGTGCGGGAGGTGACGACAAGGGTCTTCCAGCAGTATTGGAGAAGCCCATCTTACATCTTCTCGAAGTCGGTCGTCACGTTTGGTTCGGTAAGTTCGGGTTTACCAGTCTTTTCTTCCGCAATCCTAACCATGCAATTCTCAACAGGCACTGTTCATTGGCTTTACTCTCCTGGGTAACGAGAACACCGAGCGTGGTCTCAAGAACCAGATGTTCGGCGTCTACATCTTCCTTTTTCTGTTCAATCAACTGGTCCAACAAATCATGCCCGCCTTCGTTCATCAACGGACGATGTACGAGGTTCGCGAGAGACCGGCGAAAGCGTATTCATGGAAAGCCTTCATATTAGCAAACATCATCGTTGAGATGGCTTGGAACTCGCTCATGGCCGTGTTCTCATTCCTGTTCTGGTACTTCCCCATGCGCCTCGACCTGAACGCAGAGTGGACGGACGCAGTGCACTCACGTGCGGTCACACTGTTCTTGATATGCTGGGTCTTCTTCCTGTTCTCAAGCACCTTCGCCCACCTCCTCATTTCAGGTCTGGGAAGCGCAGAGGTAGCCGGTGGCATTCTCAACCTGATCTTCATCCTCATGTTCGCCTTTTGTGGTGTTCTCGCAGGGCCTACCGAGCTCCCAGGCTTCTGGATATTCATGTACCGAGTCAACCCTCTGACCTACGTCGTCGAAGGCTTTCTCAGCGTGAGTCTCGCAGACGCGCCTGTCACCTGCAGTTCCAACGAACTGCTGGAGTTCAGTGCTCCAGGTGGTAGTACATGTGGCGACTACATGGCGTCGTACATCCAGAGCAACGGCGGCTATGTCGTCGATGGGAATGCGACTTCTTGCCAGTACTGCGGTATGGCCGGTACGAACGACTTTTTGTCCAGCATGAACATTAGCATCGACAATCGGTGGCGCGACTTTGGTTTCATCTGGGCGTATTGTATTTTCAACATTGCTGCTGCAGCGGGATTGTACTGGCTTGTGAGGGTACCCAAGAATGACTTCAAGAAAAGAAGTTAGAATCTGATGGCTACGACAAGAATTGAGTGTGCTTAATAGAAGGGGCAGAATTTATGTTAATTGATTAGATTCAGTTTAGAGCTTCGAGTAGAAATTGAGGACTAGATAATAGAGCCCCAAAGGGCAAGAACCCAATCAGCAACACCTCCGTGAGAGGAAGGGAAATTCAGACTGACTCGAGATTTACAAGCCTAGGTACGTGAGCCTCAATAGCTGCAGTATCCGTGGGTTCGTCAGTGAGGGATCGAAGTTCTGTTGTTGGGCGCTGTCAACCGACTCTATCGGAAGTGTCCGATGCCTCAACATTAATAGCCATCGGCCCTATCCGACAGCACTAATTACACTCCATCTACCTGATAGAGGGTCTCTCAATCACCAATCAATACTCGGACTCATCATAACTACAATTCAATCTCTTGACTTTTCTTAAGGAGAGTTGTTCCAGCTGACTTCTATTGCGCGGTACGAATATTGCCAACCAAATATTGCACGATGGCAACTTCAGCGTCAGCAGCGTATGCACCAATATTCGGGGCGGTCGAGAAACGCAAGACCCCATGGCGGAATCTGATGGTCGGCGCATGTATGAACGTTATTCAAGGTATGTTAGCTGTTATTTCAGGAACCTGCGTTTTCCACGCCTGTCCAATCACATGTCCTGACATCAGCTACAGTCACCACTCTGGGGCAGCCCATGGAAGTCATCAAGACCCACGTAAGGCAATGCAAGCCAAGCTCACTATGAGGACTACATGCTTACCAGACTACCTCGTTTCTTTGTTCAGGCCAGTGCCAACAGAACCGATACTCTTGGTGACGCTGTACGCAAAACCTGGGCTCGTGCTGGGATTCGAGGATTTTATCAGGGTCTCATACCATGGGTTAGTATCTCATCGCCGATGGTCTCTCTCTTGGGATTATTGTATTGATCTTTTTTACAGGCTTGGTTAGAGGCCTCAACGAAAGGCGCCATCTTAGTCCTTACTTCTACAGAGGTTGAGTACTACGCCAAGAGATCTGGCCTAGGTACCGAGATTGCTGGTGTATTGGGAGGCATTGTTGGTGGTGCATCTCAAGCATACCTTACCATGGGTATGACTACCGCGAGATCATGCTTCAAGCCCACAGCTGACACGACAAACAAGGCGTAACAACATGTATGAAGACTGTCGAGGTCACAAGGCAAAAGACTCCAGTGACAGCCGGCAGAACGCCAGGAACCATGGAAGTGTTCCTCCAGATCCTACGCACCAAGGGTATCCGGGGTGTAAATCGAGGTGTCAACGCAGTAGCCCTTCGTCAAATCACGGGCTGGTCTTCAAGAATAGGCATTTCAAGAGTAGCAGAGGGCCAGATCAAGTCGTTCCGGGGCAAGTCGCCGGAAGAGAAACTAGCTCCCCCAGAGAAAATTGTTGCATCCATCATCGGAGGTGCGCTTAGCTGCTGGAACCAGCCATTTGAGGTAAGATCTTCCTATTCCCAGTGTCGATGTTGATACTGATCATCGTTCATGACTTAGGTTGTGCGGGTTGAGATGCAGTCGCTGAAGGCAGACCCCTCCCGTCCGCAACAGCTCACGATGGCTTCCACCGCGAAGCATATCTGGGCAACAAATGGATTGGCTGGATTCTTTAGGGGCGTTGTACCTCGAATTGGAGTTGCTGCCTGGGCGACGGTATGTATGGTCGGATTTGGCGACATGGTGAAAGATGCCGTTGGGTCGAAAGCTTGAAATAATCATGGGCATATGATGGGGTCGGTCGCGGCACGGGGAGACCGCAATGGAGTATTGGGATTAAAGGCTTTAAATCAAATTCATGCAGGCTGTAGTACATTACATACATCGCAGACTCATCAAGGAAAACACCGATTATCGACGCCATACAGCAGAATAATACACCCATCATGATACAAACGCCGAGCATCTAATCCTGCCATCCGGCCATGGAGCTTGTCATCTCCCAGTCACCGCTGGCGCATTGTCTCCAACTGGTCGACACAGTCGCTTCCTCCGCCTCAAGCGTGCCGTCATCGGCCTGACGGAATAGTGTGATGTCATAGCAGATAGCCATCGACATCAATCCGATCTCAACAACATGCGGCTTGTGCATCTTGTAGCTCAGGTACCGGTCGCTCTCCTTCAGCACCTCCTTCAACGTCGGCTCCGAGCTCTCGGTGTACACCTCAGGATCGCCAAATAGCAGCGGGTTGCACATGATGGCGCCCTTGCCAATGTACTTCAGTGCGCTCTTGGGCTTGTGGCACAGCGCACCCCAGAGGAGCGTCTCCATCTCGATGGCCTTCGCGTGGTTGCGCTTCGCGATGGTGTTGAGGGGTCCCTCGTCCTCCGACTCGTCGTCGGTGTCATACTCGCGGCGCGGCTTGGGCTTGGGCTTCTCTTTCTTCTCCTTCTTTTCCTTCTTCTTTTTCTTCTCCTCGCCGTTCTCACGCGGAGGGGATTGCGAGGCCGACTCCTTGCGCGGGCGGCGGGCTAGTTGCTTGCCTTCGGTTTCCTGGCCGCTCGCGAGCTGGGGCTTCTTCTTCTTCTGACGCTCCTCCGCACCAGGGCCGTGAGGGGAGGGGTCTGTGGTGAGACCGAGGACGGAAGGCATGTTGGCGTTGTTTCTAAATGTTCTCGGTCGCTATATTGTAGTGTGGGAATCAGATTTAAATCGCTTTTGTGTCGATGAATGCGTTCGCTATGTTGTTGTAGATGGAGCAAGTGGTACCAAAAAAGAACAGGCTCACATTCCCGGGTGCAACGAAAGAGGGGGCACCAGCTACTTCAAATGGGGGGCAGAAAGGCAATGGGCAAAGGCAACGGGCAGACGTTACGTGGTATGATGTCTCCCGTCACGCGGCCCCAGCGCCCGTTGACGTCCTTTCTCTCTACATTCGCCGGCCGAATGAAAGATTTCTTGCTTTCCCGACCGAGGTGACGTCAGTTATCGCGACTGGAAGCTGGTATCGAGCAGGGTTTCGTGGGGGAAAGCTGCGTCGATTGGCGCCCCGCACTGCGCGGAGCATGACATCAGTCTTGCTGGCGGGATGTCACTGTGCGGCGGCCTGCAGGAGGTCCAGAACGCTGAGTCATCACCAACAGACAGGGATTGATCCCTGTTTCTGAACATGGAACAGGCGCGTTCTCGCATTCTGAACATGAGATGTTCGAAGTGATGAGGGCCCGGGAGAAGCTCGTAGATAGAAAGATGTGGTGTTTTCCCCACAGGTTGCCGCATTGTCGCTAACAGTTGAGCCACAGCCGGGGCTTGAAGCCATCGTTTCGCCGTGAGTCCCGCTAAGCTATTCTGGTCTCTAGAGTTGTCGGCTCGCTGATGGCTGACCACGATGCATGAGAAGCTACTGCTGAGTGAAAGCGTTTCCCCGCACTGGCTGCTGATGGGCTGCACGTGTCTGAGAGCGCCGTTGGCAAGTTCTAGCCGTTTCGCTAGCCTGTGTGGAATTTCAATTTAGTGATAAGCTTCTTCCAAAATTTTGTTTGGTTGTCTTGGTATCTCTTCCCATCGCTAGTCTTGTCTACATAGTACCCTTTTACTTGCAAAATTATTCGCAAGGAGAGAAAAGTCTAAAAGGAAAATAGAAATTAAAAACAGTAGGTCGTTTCTGTCACAGTAAATGCTACTGATTGCGCACCTCGAAGACATATCACTCGGCAGCCATTGAAAGAAGTTCAGATTAAAACGATGACAGGTGAATTGCACTATTCTTACACGATGATGCCACTTTGTCAGTCTGTCATTTTTCGCTTCCATTTATCTACCTCGATTCATCTAAGCCTTTCATGTTGTCGATAAACACTAATTGGTGAGGGCATCCACCAAGTCCTTGAAACTTGTTTGTTCCGTGTCTATTATTCTTCATTGAAACTTTTGCGTCGCGGCACGATTCATCCAACCTTGATATATTTGCCGTCCTTGAGACGTATGTCTCTGATGCGTTGAGCCAGCAATTCCTGGATGACACGCTTATCTCTCTCATGGTCGCGAGGGCTCACGCATGGCCGCAGCGAGATTGTGATGTCCTCCACCTTATCAAGCTTCTCTAATATTTTAACAAGCAACCCAGTCGGCATCCCCAAGCTTTCATCGTTTTCAAGATCCCATTCCACATGTATTCGATTGACTTTTGAACAAAGAGTGGACGGCATGCGAAACCCCTTGTCGGCCACATCTTTAACAGTAGTTACTGCATGATCGAAAGCCCATGTGAGCGGGAAGAGTACGATTCCGCACCTCGTAGACAGTTCAAACTCTCGTAGGACTGTCCTCAAGGACGATTCAATCGCCAGATCTGCGTTGAATCTTGCAGTAACATCAAGTTGTTCCAACATCCAATTGAAGGCTCCTCCTCCATCCTCTCGGCACTGTTGATTTCGGGCCTCAAATAGTCTGTACAGCCTTCTAAGGACGCTCAAATTCGCTCGGCGATTGATGTATGTAAGTGGACAGGCTTTGGATATCTTATTGCAGATGATGCGGCAGGGATCAGACAACTCGCTTTCTTCCAAAAAGGCAAGTTCGTTTTCCCAATAGGGGTAGTATCCTAAACGCCAGAGATTTATTGCTGGAAAGCGACCTGTGGAAGACATGAAGAGCAGTGAAGTTGCTAATTCAAAGATGATATCTTGAATCTCGAGGGGCAGATCCGTAAATTGTTTCTTGCGATGTTGTTGATCCTGCTTCGCCTTCAGATCCTTTCCTTTTTTGGTAACGTATAGAAGATGCTTTGCCAAGGATGGTGCGGATAGGCGTTCATTCTCTTTTTCGAAACACATACTGCCATTGATGAAATGGAAGTCATGCCCATCGATGCCATCAGTGTAACTCACGGGATGATTGTCGGCTTGCTTCCGCCACCATATTCCTTGCTTATCAAAGAATACGGAAGGGTAAGGAACCTCCATCTTCTTGACGAAGTTCCTTGGTTGCTGGAGAATGATGCAAGGGGGTTTCTCGCTTGGAGCTCCCAAAGATATTCGT